AAATACCACACTCACAGTCTCTGCTGTAATGACCGGGTTTCCAAGATCTATAACAGTTCCCTCTTTCTGGTATCCTTTGGAAGGAATTCTTATTTCCTACAAGCTTTTTGTCTGCAGTTCTTGGCAATATGTCCATTCAAGTTACACTTGAAATACCTATTGCAATGTAATTTATTTTCTTCATTCTTTGTAACTAGCTGTCTAACTAATCTTTTAGTTCTTCTACATACTATCTTCAGTGGGAGTTGATGTTTCACTACTAGTCAATCTAGTGATCTCGTAACTTCGAAATGGTGCTTTTGTTGTTTATCTGCGACTTCGGAAGATTCTAGTTTCATTGCCAACTGCAGAGCTTCCTATGAAAAATTACACCTACCTCACTTTTGTCTATTTTTCATATCCTCATCTATTATGACATCTATAAATTGGCCACATACCAACGAATCCATCATTTCACAAGAAGCGTCTGGGTAAGATAACTGGCTAAACCTTTTCAAATCTCCCTCAAATCCAGCTAACGTCTCTTCTTTCCTCCATATCCTTTTCCAGAATTTTGCTCTAGATACTTCTTTGTGGTATGTCAATCCAAAACTGTTAGATAAAGAAGCTACCATGCTTGATAGCTGTTATAGCTCTCATATGGAAGGTTATTTATTGTCTTCAGCATTGCTCCTTTTAAATGAGCAACAAGACAAATAGCTTGTTGTTCACTATTCCACTTTAGAAACGATTTCATATTGAGCTTGGTATGCTTCCCATTGTACGTTTTTATCATAATCAATTGATTTCTCAGTTTACCCCCACCCCAAATATTATTCTTACACACATAGAGCAAATGTAATGTGTATAATGATAAAACACTCATGGACGAAAATTCATACCTGAACAGTATAAAGCATATCATTAGTTTCAATATTCCATATCTATTGACAAAGTTTACTGTTTTGTCTGTCGTCATTTTACTACAGGCGCTAAATATCAAAGTGAGCAAGCTTTTAGGTCTGAAAGGTTCAACATATGGAATAAGTGAACAATTGAATCTCCAAAAAAAACAAAAAACATACTTCTCAAACATAAGGAGTCTGATGCACATTTAAACAACATGTGTAACTATAAGCCATACTTCGAATCAAAGCTTTCTGAGAAAACAGTAGCGGACCACATTAATGAAGCTCACTAGATGATTGTGGAAAAGAATAGGGCATACATCAAAATACTTGCAGATACGCTGATACTTACAGCTGTTAAAACATAGCTCAGAAGGGTCATCGTGAAAGAGACACAGCTGAAAACAAATGAAACTTTTTTGGAAATATTAAACTTTTTAAAAACTTATTCCAAGATCCTAAATGAACAACTGTGTGAAGGACCTAAAATGGCAAATATACGCACAATAATGTACAAGATGCTATCTTAGATATCCTCAGTGATATAGTTTTGGACGATATAAGAGAAGCTCGGTATTTTTCAATCTTAGTCGATAAAACTAAATACCTATCCCAAAATAAAAATAGTAGATGAGTTTGGTATTTCAGTTCTTTAATGATTCAAAAGTTCAGGAAGAATTTCTTGGTTTTCAAGTCGTTGATGAACTCGATGCAGAATCTTTGACCAAATATATTCTGGAGGAATTAAGGGACAATGCACTTGATGTCACAAACCTAATTAGTCAAGAATATGATGACCCTGCCGTCATGAGCGGCAAGCGCTCTGTAGTTCAATGAAAAATAAGATAAATCTTACCTCAAGCCATCTACATTCGCTGTTTTGTTCATAGTCTTAATTTGGTAATCGTAAAATGTAAGAAGTCTTTTACCCCTGTGGCTGACTTTTTCTCAACACTTCATACTTGCTACAAATTTTTAAGTGGTTCTAATGTTCACAGACATTGGATTCCTTTCCAAAGAAGAAAAGACATTGCACCCAACTGAAAAGCCTGTAGAATTTAAAACAATGTCGGAAACTCAATGGATTCGCCAGGTGCATGCTTTAAGTGTAATTGTAGCAAGGTTTGACTGTTTGTTAAATTTTTGCGTCATGTTGACATAAGTGACAGCAATCGAGACTGTGCATAAAATACCCGATCCCTTTTGGCGCAACTTGACTAGACTTTCATATACTGTATGCTGTTTCTGAATGACATCTTACGTGAAGCCAAAGGAGCATCAGATATGCTGTAAAATTCCAAATTAGAGTACATGAAAGCGGCAGATCTCATTGAGAGTCTTCTAGAGAATTGCAAACCTACAGATGTGACGAGAAAGTTGTACATTATTTTCAACATTCTTATGACATCACTATCAGAAATGACCTGAAAATAGCGTCGGCGTCAGTTACAGAGCTCTACGCCCTCAAACATGGACGACTTTGAAGTTCTAACCACACTGGGGAAGCGAGACGCCATATAAGATTCATCTTATATGAAACGAACCATCTTGTTTCCGAACATTGATAATTTTCTTGGAGAACTAAACAAACGATTCAGTGGAGAAAATCTGCAAATGTTCTAATCCCTGTCGGAGCCTCCCAGTGGCACAGCGGTATATCTGCGGACTTACAACGCTCGAAACCACGTTTCGATACCCGTGGTGGGCAGAGCACAGATAGCCCATTGTGTAGCTTTGTGCTTAATTGCAAACAAACAATCCCTGTCGACAATTAACCCCAAATTTGAAACATTCCTTTGAATTTGGTGGGACATCAAAGGAGTAATTCATTTCGAACTTCTTAATCCACAGTGAACTGTCAATGCAGAGATCTATAGTCAGCAACTGGAAAGTTTAAATCAAGCCATTCATCAGAAACGCCCTTCCTTTGTCAATCGGAAAGGTGTTCTTCTTCTCAACGACAATGCGTGTCCACATGTAGTATGTTCCACGCAACACAAGACTATGGAGTTAAATTGGGAAGTTCTCCCCCACCCACAATATTGTCTAGATATGGCACCATCAGATTATTATCTTTTTCGTTCGCTGCAACACCATCTTAATGGGGAAAAATATGGTGTTAAAGAGGACATCGACATGTTTTTGCTTCAAAGCCAAGTGATTTCTTTAATCAGGGCATTAACAACCTGACTGTAAGAACGAAAAGCATCATTAATCAGGATAGAGACTATTTCGTTTAATAAATGTTTTGCTTTGATATATAAGTTTTCGGTTGGTTTTTTTTTTTTTTCATCTAAAAAAAGCGACAATAATTTCCCGAAGACCTAATATATATATATACAGTTATGGATGGAGACGGCTTGAATGGGTAACAAGGAAAAACTTAAATATACGTTTAACATATCAACAAATGTACAATGTTTCGACAAGGATTTGTCATCATCAAGTACCATTATTAGTCTAAAAGTGGGTTCCTCGTCATCGAATATATACAATCAGTTACGGTAATCCAGGCAGCCAACTGTGGGTGATGCAAGCCAAAAGTCTATAAAAAGTGAAAATGTGCTTGTTGCATGGTGGTTGTTGTTTTTATCACCCTTCTCGGGCAAAAATCCTAAAACATAATAGCCCATGTAAACTCTTTAACAGTTTCAATTACTATAAAATAATAACAGTAATCAAGCCAGTCAACTCTGGGTGATGTAAACGAAATGGCTATAAAAAAAAATTGAAATGTGCCTTATTTCAGAGGTTTTTAATCCCCCTCCCTTCTCGAGCAAAAACCTAAAACAAAATAGTCCATATATAGACCATCGGACGATTTTCAGTTGCCTTACAAAAATTATGATAATCAAACCAACCAACCCTGTGTGATGTAAGCCAGTCTATAATACTGTTACGTCTCCGTTTGTTAATTGATTTTCCGTAAATTCGTTCCGACGAAACTTTAGCGACACAAGTCCTTACTTAATAAAACTGGTTTATTCTTTCCGAATATAACTTTACGATACACTTAATTTCAACAATCGCGCTAAAACAAACGCTATAACAACGAACGTGCTCAACTTCAATAATACTTTCTCACTGCAGATCAATTACTCCCTACCTACACACACATTATCCCGTCACGTTGTCACCCTCTTATATATATATACCAGCCTATCCTATATCTAGTAATCTCCCGACTATTCCCGAAGGTTCGAGAGGTGGCGTGACACTAGTCACGTGACCTTGCTGACGCAACAATATAAAGACAACTTCAGTATGGATCATTTCCTATGAAACAGGAAGGCAACTTTGACGATGATGTGCGCATGCTCTTTTCCTGTGTTACTATGTCTTACTTATTCAGCTAACGGTTGGACGAAGTTCATCCTGTTTTTGTCGATAAATCAAGGGCAATTATGTGCCAAAAAGTAAAATACAGAGTGTTGAGTCTACAGCTATAAAGTGACCGTCAGTTGTGAATATACTTAATTGTGGGCTAATCAAATTAGTACGGCGAAAGAGAGCGAAATCGTCGGTCTGACCCATCACTGGCAACAGTCTCCAAACGTGTGTTTTACTTTTACCAATTTTGAACACTTTCGTCATCTTCCCACGTCTTGCAGCCAAAATTTTCTACTGTGTTTTTTCCTCTAGAAATCAAACTCCGACAGCATAACACACGAATCAAGTAGTACTAATATTAATTTGACTGCGAATAGTACTAACGAGGAAATTTTATGTACACAATAAATGTATCACTATTAGGGCTGTGTATGTAAACTTAAAATTAAATATTAGTTCTCATATATTGATATCTGAGCAATTGACGTACTATTAGTGTTATTAACTTATATTAAGTATTGGGCATTATTTAACTAAGTGGTTAAACCTGAACAATGTAATTTTGCTCAAGTCTTAATTTTCACTTTCACTCAGTTTCCTATTTTTCAAGATATGTAGACGTTAGGCTTATCTCAGAACTTTCTCTGTACTACTACTAATACTATTGTGATTTGTAGTGACTAACGTAATTAAAATCCAAAAATGACAAATAATTTAATAAGGCCTTTGCTAATGCTAACAGATGTTTTTAAGAAAACTTCAAATTCACTGATATACCAAATAATGGTTAATTCTACCGTACGAGGATTGGCAGGTAACAAGTTTTCAGTTTCAGCCGAACATAATTCTGATGTTAATTCTAATAAAGGCTTGAAAATCTCCGATACATGTGTAAAGAGACTGAAACAGATAGCATCAGATGGGGTCTTTTTGCGAGTTATTGTAGAGGGAGGTGGTTGTTCAGGTTTCCAGTATAGATTTGATTTGGATACCAACATCAACGAGGATGATCAAATATATGAACGAGATGGAGCTAAAGTAGTTATTGATGAAACATCACTGGATTTTGTTAAAGATTCAACAATTGACTATTATGAAGAACTTATTCGTTCAGCATTTAGGATTATTAACAATCCCCAGGCTGAACACGGATGTTCTTGTGGTGCATCATTTTCAATAAAAGTTTAAAATGAACATTTCTGATACACATAGTGTTTAATTTTATGCAGATGTGTACAGTAAATCTGTAGGTTCTGTAAGTAAGAAATATATTTTACATAATTAATATGAAGAAAGGTGTTAGTTTTTTTACAACGCGGTAGTATGCAAGCTGTGTTTAAAGGGCTTTCTGTTAACTTAGTTCTACAACATTTAGTTGAATTACAACTTGGAAGGAAATGTTTTGCTTGTATGTTATGTAGATGTTCTAAGTATTAAAATATTAGATATAAACAATGTCCTATGTGCATTTTCTTAAGGTATCTTAATTCATTTATAAATACTGGAAAAAAAACAAGTTGTGAAAATATGTACACACATCTTTAGCTGGAACTTAGAAGACAAATTGAGAAATACTGTGTAAACCAGTTGGTGGCAAACTTTTTTTCATGAAGTGATATAATAAAATTATGAATTGCCCTTATTGCTAAACATTTATCCCAAAGACGAAAAGTTGGGATAATTTCTGATCTAAGTTCAGTAAAAGATATATTATTTAGAAAAGGTTAAGTTAGTATAAAGTTTTGATACTTGCACACCTATTTTGGTGTGTTGTTTAATACAACAATAAAATTAATTTTTTTGTTGCTTAACCTTATAGGTTTTATATTTAGGTTAAGGAATGAAAGCATTATAAAAGAATACCAAATTATCATTGTAAATTATAATTTATTGTAGATTACTATAAAACTGTCTTTAAATAAAATTTTCTGAAATTAATAAGATTAATGCATCAGATTTTTTTGTGTTAACTTCTGAAGGTAGTGGGATGAGAGTTAATAAAGTTAAGATTTTATAAGGTCAGATGCATCTCCAGTTGAAGCTGCTTTATTTTACCAGTAGGATGGTAAATCTGTGGAACAAACTACTAACTAGAGTGATGGAGACTATAGGAATTTTAGGGATCAGGGCTGGATCTAGTGATTAGTTTTTGTTTATTGAAGCAGGTTGCGAGTCAGAACAACTTTGATAAGACAAAATGCCTCTCTTGATGTTCCCTAATGTGTAATCAATTGTGGATGTTATAACACTAATTGGAGAGTTATTCCATTATTATCTACAGTTTGTAAGTAACATGTAAGAATTGGATAAAAGAGAGAACAAATGAATCTGATAAGAATTTGGTCATGCTTTGAAAAAATAAACATTTGAAAGACTTGTGGGTAGAAAAATATGATGGTAGTTATGAATAAAACAGTAAACAATAATTTCCCATTTGGCCCACTGAGGTAATCTCAGAATAAAAAAAAAGTGAAAGTAAGAATATTGTCCTTCAGATCTAAATACCTCTATGTATTGAAAATAGTTGAAACAGACCAAACTGCATATCTCGCAGAGTACTCCATACATACATACATAATTAAACTTTTAAATTTAGTATATCCTCGAGATCAAATACTTCAAAACTTAATGTGTAAAGAGGAGAGAGGCTATTATGATGCAATTATATATTCAAAGTTGTGTAATGGTTTTCACATTAAGAAGACAGAAATCTTAGTTTTTGTCAATAGTTTAAAGTTAAAAAATTAGCTACTTGTGTTAAAAAAGATATCAAAAATTTTTAATCCTTAGTTTATTTATGTAAGTATATTTCTTTTGAAAACTTAACGTTTTTCTGAGAGTAATAAATAACGTGTTTGTTTTATAATTGAGTTTGTTCCTTTTTGGTAATGATTATGAAAATTATTTTTAAAAAACTTGCATGTATTATCAATACAGTTTTAAAATAAGCAATGTCCATCATTATGTTTAGGCATTGTAGAGATATTCATAAGAGTAAAAATTTTTTTAATGTTAGCATTCCTTTTCCTTGAGAAAATATTGCAATTACTGCTAACAATGACTGTATAAGCACCAAGGTTCTCATCAATATCTTCAATTTCAGCCTTCAACATGTTCTCAATCTTTGTAATATTAATGAAAGTAGAATTGTTACATTAAAAGGACTTATTGTTAGAAGTTTAAATTAAATTATGATTTTGCAAATTATCATCAGAAATATTTTAACACAGTTGTATTTCAGGGTGGTGATTCTTATCTTTGTACACTAAAAACTGGATTTTCAGTGACTCCTAAAATATATCCATATACAGTTAATGATTTATACAATTTTACTGTATATACATTATGAATAACAAGTTACATCAATCAACTGCAGGCAAACACCTACAATCTTTGTTTTTAATGTATTTTTAATACAGTTTAATGGCCTTGAGTAATTTAATACTTTACTAACTTAAGTATACTGCATGATTTTAAAAAAACTTAATTGAATTAGAAATCTCAAATATTTCAATTATTATGAAAGGTAAAGAGAGAATATTGTGTAACTTATGTACACTACACACTTCTCTAGTTGTTTGTGCACTTTGCAAAATCTGCAACCTGTTCTTCATAATAAGACACATAAACCTCTTTATAGATAACAATATCAATTCTGATGGGAGACGATGCAAGTTAAAACTGCAGTTCTTAGCTGGATGTGGCAGGGGACTTGTTATTCACATAACCAAGTATGATTTAAATTTAAAAAAAAATATTTTATTCAGTTTTACTCAAAATAAATTTTTCGTGTGTCAGTTTTGAACAGATAAAGCAGAGTGTATAGTACATAGGTTAAATTACTATTCTGTTACACAAATCTGGGACTTTATTAACATAACATTTGAAGGACAACAAGGGACCCTTTGGCCTATTGTGTGTATTCCATTCATTTCTTCAAACACTTGTCTGCCAATATCTGCTCTTGACCCCCCTCCCAGATTCTCATCAAGCTCTCTCTCGTACATTCCAAATTCTGTTGTCTAAGAGTTAATGACAGAAAGTTTGTTTGTAATTAAGCACAAAGCTACACAATAGACTATCTGTGCTCTGCCCACCACGGGTATTGAAACCTGGTTTCTAGTGTTGTAAGTCCGCAGACATACCACTGGTGGGGGGGGGGGGGCATTTCAAAAGTTAATGACCCTGTTTCAAAACTAAACTTGCCTAATTTGCAGATTATGTTAACCTTGTCAAATCTTTGTATCCCTGTCCCCTAGTACTGCCACTCTTAACATAAAATACACAAAAGATAATGCATAAATCCTGTCTATTCCCTCTATAATGCAAAACACTAGTAAGATCCCATCTCAAGAGAAAATAATATTAAAGACTTTAACCTGCTCTCTTATGATGGCCCCTTCGTCCCAGGAATCATTCTACTAGACCTTCATTGAACCATTTCAAACAAATCAATGTTCTTCTTAAAGTATGGAGTCCAAGACTGAACACTACTTTAAGTGAGGCCTAACCAGCAGTACATCTGGTAGTAGAAATGGCCATTAAAATTTTGAAAGTTCTGTTGAATACTGTAAGTTCTCTAGATCTTGGGAATTCTACAAGTATTACAAAACTGAACATATTCAGCAAAAAACTTAAGTTCTTTACAAAGAACTTTACTTTATTTACATCAATTTTGAATGGAACTCTGTTATAAAGGCCTTTACAGGTAATAGTTTATTCTGGTGTCTATTTTATTGTATGCAACGATTCGGTCATTTAAGTCTTCCGGTGGGACAATGATAAGTCTGCGGACTGACAATGCTAAAGTCAGGGGTTCAATTCCCTATGGTGGACACAGCAGATAACCTAATGTGTTAGTCAGGGTCAGTTTGATAGTTCTCACTTTTGTTGCTCCAATGTTTGGCTTCCATATTAACCTTCTTTCTAACTTTACACCAAGTAAAGTTGGCATTTCCTCCTAAGAGATACTATACTCTCCAAGCTTCTGACTCACCTTCTCTTCACTTATTTAGGACAACTGGGTGGTGCAAGTTTCAATTCTGCCGATGTCCGGATCCCACCACTCTGTCAAGATTTGTACATCATTGACAGTTCATCGAATGCAATAAATTGCTATGGAGGTATGCTCAGGTGTACTCAATACTGTGAAATTATCAGTAGGCAAACAGTTGTAGACATGTTTTGGCACACATGTAATGATACCACTGACGTACATAAGAAACAGAGCCAGGGATATCAGTCTGCAGGACTTCTCTCACTTTGACCAGGTGGTCAAGGATGCTGTCTACTTTGATTGTGGTATTCCTGTATAAGAGGAAGCTCCTTATCCATCTGAACAGTTAGCCTACAACTCCCATCTCCTGCATCTTCAGCAAGAGGCCCTTCTTCCAGACATGGTCAAAGGCTTAAGTGAAGTCAAAGAAAACCATGAGCTCTTTTTTATTTTTCTCCTAGTAGGCATTTTCTATATTTTATGCTAGAAAGGACAAATGGTCTTTCATTATCCATGGCCCGTTTGTGTTGTGATGATGAGATTCTTTTTTTTAAGACTCAAAATGCCAGAGTATGTATTTCTCGATCATACTTTCTAGCAATAACCCAATAGCTCAGCAGACTGACAGGCCCATAACTGTCTGGATCTAGGTTTCTCTTTCCAGATTTGTATTTTTGCAAGTATTCCATTTATGTGTACATAATATTACATTCATATATATGTATAAAAGATACTGCATATAATGTTTTAATGTATAGTGTTTAATTTTAGAAAACATATTTTGCTTAATTATAAATGTTGTAAAGCTTTTCTTGTGTGTAGGTAAGATATTTATAATAAATCATTTTGTGCAACTGTTTGTACCTAGGAGGTACAAAAGACAAAACTTTTAGCAGTATCTACATGGAGTGATATTTTAAGAATAGTTTTAAACTGTCATATTTAATGTCAACATAACTTTTTCTTATAAATTATTTTAACTTGGTACAACTCTTCTCTAACTTACTAAAGAACATCTATCTTAAGATATTGTATATTTTCAATTATTTTGAGTATTCCATTGCTGGTGTAACAGCAACAGTATTGGATGGATATATCTGTAAAAACAATTCAATTTCAGTCTCATTTTTATGACTTTCAAAAATACACATGGACTTCAACATCCAACCGAGTTTTATATTATGTACTTTCATTATTTTGTATCACTACCGTAAAATTAAAAGCATCTCTTCAAGAAAAATTAAAGGCTAAATGTGACATTTCAGAGAATTTTCCATTTTACTTTTCTCAAGTATTTATTACGAAGTTGGTTAGCAAACTGTTGTTAAACTTTTTTGCCATTTATTGTAATCCTATGAATTATCCAAAGAAGTGACAGATTTTTAGCTGTGACCAGCCTAATGATTCCCACAAAGTTTTCTACTATTAGATTTCTTCTTAAAAATGTGGTGTTGTAGAAGCTTTCTTTTGTGCTTTGCAAGATCCTTCTTGATAGGTGAACAGATCTTGTAAAAATGACACTGAACTGCTGTCTTTGGATAGAAATATATTTTATTTGACATTGCAAGTATTGGGCTTTTACACTTCATTTTGAAACCATATAAATCAGTCTCAAAAAAATGTTTTCTTAATGTACATTGAACACTAACAAAACTGCTTTTCATTAAATTATTCAAGATATTAGTATGTTCATCTGACTGCTTGTCCATTTAAACTTGATCTTAGGGGATTTCACTCGAGTTCCTCTATTGAAATTGATTCAGTGGTTCCTTACAAGACTGTGATAACAGATGGACAACTGTATTTATATATGTTATAACTCTCAAGTCAAAAAGTATTTTAGTTAAGTTATTGCTTATAATTGCTTGTCTAACCAAAAAAAATCGGTTCAAAAGCAACTTCATTTCATTCATTAAAAACACATTCACACGAATTTGATTTTATGTGGAAAAAAGTAAACTTTATATGGACATGTATGTTTAACTGTTCTCTTAATTATTAGGACAAACCAAAATACATTTCAGTTTCAGTATTTTGTTTTAAGTTTACTTTTAAAAATGGACAATAAAAGTTTTGTTTTAGTGGCCTATATTACTTAATATTCTGAACAAGTATATGAAAATTAACATTAACAACTTCTGTAACATATATAATAGGAATAAATTTAAACATCATTACTGGCTATGAATTAAAACCACATTGTCAAAAAAAATTTAATTCTTGCTATCAAATTATTTTTATTCAACAAGCAACCCAAATATAAATTAAAAGTAATCTAACTACCTGTAATAAACAGAATAAATAACACACATAATTTAAATTTTCATAGTTCATTAAAACTTAAAAATCTTACTTGTTCTTTGTCAGCTATGGTCATAAAATGAAAAAAAAAAAACTTTTTCAAGTTCCCAAATTAAATGTCCAATGCTGGACAAAATACTTGAGCAAAGTTTTATATCCCAAAATAAATGCATTTATGAAAATCCTAATAAAAAAAACAGCTGATAAGATAAATGTTCATAATTTATCTTATTTAGAAGCAGTTTACACTTTCTAGTGTTTTAAAAAAATTCTCTAGACAACTTTTGTAAATTAGCCTGGTTTTTCAGATGAATTTGAAGAGATTGGTGCTTGATAAAAAAAACTGATTTATTCTATAATGTTTTTATAAAGCAAATTAAAAGATCATGTAAGCCTTTAGATTCTTCATGTTTGACTTACCTCTGGATTATTAACTTCAACATATTTTGGTAAAACTGGTTTATATGATAAACAATATTTTGCATATAGAAATTAATTTGTAAAGCCTGATCAATCAGGTGGAACAAAATTATCTTTTGTGTTTTGTAAGCAAAATGTGAAATTCTGTTTTAAGAATAATATTAAGCTAATTGTATAGCTAAATTTAAAATGTTTAACTGATGTATACATACAAATAACATGAAATAATGTAATGACTAATTACCAGATCAATAAAAGCTATGACATTTTGTGAAAAACACATTGATAAACACATGTATTAGTATTATATAATGGGTAAATATGAAGACAATACTTATGGATATCTCAAAAATTATTTCTTGATATACTAACGTTTTTCATTGAAGGTATTTCTATAACTTGGGTATAGCTATGTTATTTATGTTCAATTTTTTTTTAAATTATACTCAGAGCTAGGCACTTCAAATTGTTCATAGTAGAGCAGGAACATCATTCATCAAACATGTAAATAACATTTCAAATATCCGTTTGTTTTTAGGTAAACTATGTAAATACTCTGATTTTAGATAAGATAAAATATCTGAACAATGTGCACTTTAAGTGAATTAAAAAAACTAAAAATTACTTCTCTTTCCAGGTTTCAAAATTACAGAATAAGAAATCTCACAAAAATGTATACTATAAACTTAAACATGAGATCAAAAATGTGAGGAAATAGATCTTGAAGCATCTTCATGCTGTAATGTATAGCAACTCATTTTGTTAAACATTTTTATTACACAAATAAAATAATTATACTAACCAACAACAAATTACAAACTAAATAAGGATTACAGGAAAGTAATTAAAACATGAATACTAAAAACACAGGTGAAGAACATTTGCTGAACTTCAAAGTTGTCAGTGGGAGGTGGGACTTGCTAGGGCCACAGCTACTCCAAAATGAGCTTTAGTCTCCCTTGTGACCTCTGCATCCAACAAACAATGTTTAAAGTTGGCTCACTTCCTAAGTACTACAGTATATGTGCCCATAAGATGTATAAAGCAGCCACCTCACCAGATTTAGACTGGCACCACCCCTCTTCATCTTGTTTCTAGAAGCATAACTTCCCTTCATCAGGTTGTACTTTTCAGATGTTTTTGACATCCATGTATTAAATGTTTTTATGTAAAACTTATTTTATTTATATTGTTTTTCTACTTAGTATATTGATTTTACTCGTACATCAGAAAGGTTAAACAAAATAAGTTGTTACATCATAATATATATTTCTTGAATGATAACTGTGTGGAAATATAATGATATGCTTCATTTGTATAAAAATACTTTGACTTTAATTGAAATTATTATCAGACAACACTCTGAAATGTTTACTTTCCAATGTAGGAGCTTAATTACAGAGGAAAATCTAACAGATCAAAATGAGATTTTGAACACTGCTCACAAATAACAGGAAATAAATACACACACAATTAAAATGTTATTAGAGAAGAGTAATTCTTTATAGAAAACTTTCCTAGAGTTAGTATTCAAAATCAGCAGGAAAACAATCATATGACAAAATTATATAAAATGCTAAAGGAAAACCTAAAGAAGACCATCAGAATAAAGTTAAATATATCATGCTTAACACAAAAGTTTTGAAAATGCTACTACACAATAATGGAAAACTGTTCACTCTGAAATTGACCAGCCAAAACAGGAAATGAATAATTCCAGATTTTGCAAATTATTTTAATTAGACTAGGATCCCTCAAAAACCAACTTGACAATGTGGTTCCATTAAATTGAATGTTCTTTAATCTATTAAACATAAATTATTGTTTAAAACTATTATGTCAACCCTTTAGGGGTGTGCATGATATCACACTAAAAATCAACATCAGATAATTCAGGTTCAGAGTCAGAATTATTGTCACCTTGCACAAGTTCAATGATATTTTCAAGTGTGAAATCACTGGAGGAATTTGATGTCATTTTGGGTCCCTTTGCTCATAACATGTTGGTGACAAGGAACCCACTTTTTAATAGAGAAAGTTTGGAGAAGGCTTGAATGGGTAGTGAAAGAAACTATTATAAATGATTAATGTCTAGACAAACTTATGTTACTGTCATGATTATGACATAAGCTTGTCGAAACATTGTATGTTTGTAATAAAGTTTCTTTCACTACCCATTCAAGCCATGTTGGATAGAAATCAGCAGCTGAGCTCATCATCTGTGCAGATCAGGCTTTGACAATTGATCTGGTGCACTTGATTTGCATCTCTAGTGGGAAATTCAAATTGCATTATGTGGTCAACATATGGTAATGAGTTCACCTAAAGAGTTAAAAAAAAACACAGTTGATAAGTGTGTACAATTCATTTCAGGGCAGAATAGATGATTTGACTAAACATCAGTTTAGCAAAAACAAGGTTTCTGATACAGAAGAATAAGTAATCCATAATTACAGCTGTTAAATTATTTCACTGGATGAGTAGTAGTAGTTTCTAGACAAAGCCAGCACCTCTCAGCAATCTAACAAGCTACTTCTTGTACTATGATGTACCTCTACTTCCTACAATACCAAGTTCTTTTGCTCTTCTCAGTTCCTGTTCAATGATCATTTCATTAGTGATATAATTTTCATGTCGAATCTGGAGTTTCAGAGACATTGGAACATCTGGGATCAACCAACGAATTAAAGTTGTGATGATTACAATGGTGGTCTGTAAGATACATACTACAAATAATGAAATGCTTACTTAAATTAAACATCATAAGAATTGTTTTTTTTTGTACAAAAAATTCATTTTTACAACTATATCATAAATCAATTAATAAATATTTCCTTAATTAAGAATGACTTTACACAATAAATTAGCATATTCAGTTGCATAAAGTTAAATGTTTTTGATTCACATCACACAGATAATTTTACTCTGAATAAGATTAATGTATTTAACAACAGCATAACCTTTATTATATGTTACACTTATATTGATATATATGCAAAGTGAAATAGTCTTTTTATACATTTTAATGGTAAGTAATTACAGGTACAACATTTGTGTACAACTTGAAGAACAATTTGTTTATTTTTGAAGAATTTATGGATTCATGACAAACAATGTTGAAAAGTAAAATCATCAAATTCTATTAATAAGAGATGTACTATACCATGCATTATATTTATTGATTAAACTTTGGGATAAAGAAGATTTACTTTAGATTCTTTAAAAATACACTTTCTTACCTCAAACACCACAACAAAACCTAAACGAGCTGCTACAAGATGCCAGTAAATGGATCTAAGTTCATATTTATTGCTTGAAATAGGAGATTCTCTGTAGCCTTGGTATCTACAAATAAAATTGAGAAAATTATTTAAGAAAAACACCCACTGAAATTATTATCCAATACTCTATGTGGCTATAAATACCTGTGAATGTTGATAATTATACTATAGAGAGATAATAAATATTTTGTTACTGATGTTTCAAATTATTATCAAAACTTTGGGGATAAACTAGCAACACTGAAATTCACAATATTACAAATGACAAACTTTTCAACAAGGTTACTCTCGTGAATAAGAACATCTTTTAGTTGCTGTTGCTGATAAATCAGGAGTTTCAATATATCATTAAAAGCATTACTGTTACACTTTATAATTCCTATTTAAAATTTACCATCAGTGTTTTCTTTTTCTCTATTCCAGTTTCTACCAAACAGAATTACCCAATTTGTCTAAACTGAAATTCAGCTTATAACAATTTGTAAGTTCTTGAAGCAACAGATATTTAAAACTATATCCATGAGAAAAATATAACCTTAAAAAAGTACATCAATGACAAAATAAGCTTATAGCCTTACCAAATATCCATACTTCTATGTTTGATGTACAACAACATCTACAACTTAATGAAACTAGCTGTTTTTCTTTTGTCACAATACTTTGAAAGTTTATTTGGTTTTCTTCTTCCTCACTGAAATTCAGGCAAACACTGAATATATTATATATACATAATGTTCTAATGAAATTCGATTGTAGAATAGTTTACATTTGACTGAAAGTGTGTGCTAGGATATTACATACTGCTGAATATGTAAAGCAAAACATTTTTAGCTAATAAAGGATTGACAAAATAACTTAATGACCAGTTTGGAATGAACTTACAGCTATAGCTATTTCATTTTAATGATGCACCATACCTTTAACAAAACATTATTAACCAAGCCACAGGCTACACTTACCCACAAGTAAGAGATGTCATGTTGTCATTGGAAGTGATACTTGCATCAGGGGAAAAGTCAGTTATGTTGAATTCTGATAAAGTGAAGTTCAAAAATCCATACAAAGAACCATCAGGTGAAACAGTAATCATATAGAAAAGCTGGTCAATGAAACTAGATGTGAAAGCTATGATCACCCCCTGAAAATCCAAGAAATTGGTAATTTTCAAAAGGTGTGATGACAAAGCTTAAACTATAAACTGGAAAAAAATTGCTATGATACCCAATAAATCCTAGGAATCCTGCACACTCACCTCTTATAACAGATACAAAACTACACACAATATTCTTGTTACTGGAACATAATACATTAATGTTAAACAAAACTGTATGTTATCAAATGGCTACTTTCACCATGCACTTTAGTAACATCTACGTATACAGTCACTATACCCATTTCATCTTACACAGTTTAAAACACTTGTGCATATTTTCAACGTGTCCCGATTGTGTGATCTTCAAAATTTACATTGTAAAACATTATGGAAAAGATCTGGCTATTGCTAGTCTCACAAACTTTCTAACTTTTGAGACTGAAAAAAATGCTCAAAGCATGTTCACTAATTAGTTTGAAATAATAGTGACATACTTACATTTGTTATAACAGAAAGCTTCCCTATAGAATCAAGGATTCTGTACCATATTCCTGCAATAATAAAAGAAAAATATTATACACATGCACACACACTTTGAAAAAGGATCAGTTCACATTCAAACCTTCAACTTCCAAAGCTTACAGCACTTGCTTATCTATTTTTAATATTCAAGCTCATTAATTGGTTACATTCAATTAAATGATTATTCTCACATGAGACTTGGATAGTTGATATAACTGAGTATAGTAATAATCAGAAACACTAACACAGATTAGTTCAGAGCAAAAACTAGGGCAGGGCAAGCACTCTAGGAATGGATTAGTTGGATATTTTTTGTGAGTCATGCATGACACTAACCAATTAAGCTGAACAGCATTGAATTAAACAAAAATAATGAGAAATCATAATGACAGTGCTTCAATTACTTGGATGATTGGAATAATAAAATAGTAATAACCACAAACATTATTTTGATTAGTTGAATATCCTTGTTAAATTACTCAACTTAATTGTAATTTTGAATAATTGATTATTTTATGTAATACTAATTGACATAATTAATGCTCATATATAATCAATTTTATTGATTGAGATAGTTGTTAAACTTTAATAGATAATATGCAATATAACTGCAAGATATACATATACATACACACATACATAACATGCAATATAACTGCAAGATATACATGTACATACACACACATACATAACATGCAATGTAATTGTAAGATATATATTTATATGCATACACACACACATACATATCATGCAATTTAACTGTAAGTGAAGATATGTATAACATACTATGTAACTAAAAACTACAAAGAAAGTGACTTCCACCTTCCAGTAACTATTAATTTTCCCCCTTAACAGGAAATTTTGTTAAAAAGATGGCCAGACCTCCACAACTTTAAAAAATATATATATTAGAAGTTCAATGCCTTACCCCTCAAAAAGCATTTACTCTCACTCTGTATAACAACACTACAAATGCAATATAATGATTTATGGCATTACCTTGTTATAATGCTTTATTTAGTTTTTATAATTTTCAATGTGATAATTATAATTACAAATAATTACTTGTTTTGTTAACATATGTGAGATTAATAGAAACTGAACAGAATGTTTTAGTTTTTAGCATAAAATTTAGTAAACTTATTAAATTAAACTTTTAAGATTTTTTTTTACATTTTTAGCCAAATAAACAACCTATTTAGTATAAATCTGGAAAGAATTTTAGTAAGTTTAGAACTCATATAAGTGGAATAACTTTCAATTATTTTAATAATTTAAACTTGGACTATCAACCTCTTAATATAAGAAGTATCATTATTAAAAACCTAGAAAAAAATAACAATTGTGTCATATCTGAATCTGTTAAAGGGAACAGTACTGTTATTTTTGATAAAATTTAGTCTTTAAGTAAAGTAGGTAACATTTTGAGAGACTTAACTAAGTTTTTCAATCTTGATCAATATCCTACTGGCACTAGAGGAACTAAATTACCAAGATAACTTCCAAATTTAGACACAATATTCATAAATCAAATCACAAACATATTATCCAGGAGTCTTTTATGGACTTTTTAAAATGCACAGAGAAGACTGTGAATTAAGGCCTATACATTAAAGCTTCAAACATTAGAACATATAATCATGCATTAAAAAGTTATTTAGTTAGTTGTTTTTCTAATGGGTTATACCAATAACAAATAGACTTTGAATGAAATTAAAGATTAAAGTTTGACAATAACATTAATTGTATTGGTTTTGTTGTTGAATTCTTGAATATTAACATCCCTTTGGAAGAGACAACATAATTAAGAAATTAATTTTTAATAATAGTTTAAATGAGTTATACATTCCAAATCTATGTTTTCAAAGTTAATTTTGTCCTAGATGGATCACTTTATTTGTTTAATGATTATCTTTGTGATTAGATTGATCAGGTAGCTATTGGTTCTACATTAGCCCATTCTTTGTCATTTTGTTACTTTGTTTTCACAAAAAATAAGAATTGAAGGGATGTCCACAGTCTTTTAAATCATTATATTATTGGAAGTATGTAGATAATACTTTCATAATTTTTAAGGATGCTGATTATGTTCCTAACTAGTAAACATAATAGTACTTGATTCACTACTGAGTTTCAGCAAGATCATAAACAAGTAGTTTTTAATATAATAATGCTTGGAGACGGCTTGAATGGGTAATGAAGAAAAACTTTAATATAAGTTTAACATAACAGCAAATGTACAATGTTTCGATAAGGTTTTGTCATCATCAGGTACAAGTAGTTTACACTGACACAGATATATTGGATATATTGATTCACAATTATGATGGTAAATAAATGTGAAGATTATCATAAAAAGATGTTTATTGGCTTGCAATTTAACTTCACAAGTTATATATCACTTTTTCTTTTTAAGGATAACTTAACTAAGATCTTAATTCATCGTGCATATGAAATCTCAAGTATATATGAATTTTTGCATAAAGCTTGATATAAAGTTTTGCACATAAAGTTTGAGAGATAAAATAATTCACGATTATTTGAATAAACAAAACATCATAAAACAAAAACTTCTAATATATGAATTTCAGAAATGTTCAATTTTTGTAACATTACTGTATTCATAAACATGCCTAGAATATTAAAAAAAAGGTTACACTCTACTTTATGGAGTGTATTTGCATGTGCAATTAAAATATATCTTTTAACTGAGACGTCATTTGAAATATTACTTTGCATGCAAAGATTGAATAATTTCTCCACTTGAAACATCGAATGTAGTTTATCAATTTACTTGTCCTTCATACCAACAATGTTATACTGAATCCACCACGAGATGATGCAGCTCAAATGGGTGAGATACGGTTGTCCATGAAAATTATCTTACGATCTTAACTAAAGTCAATGATGCACAAAGCCTCCATATAGAAAATAACTTATTTATTAACAAGCAGAGACTGTAACTTAACCAAGTCTGTTTGACATACAAATTACTGCTTATATTATTTCTCACAAACGAAACTATATCATCACAATAGATGAAACCTAAGTCTATTTAAGCAATGGTAACAAAGTTCAGATAATTTATTAATGTCCTGCTAGTGGTAAAGAAAATGTTGCTGAAGTTTCTCCACTGAAGTTACAGTGGTTTCAGGTTACAGCTATAACATCTGGAGAGTAGAGAAAAATGGCAAGATGGATACTGCAATGTATCAACCTAATGTTCTGATACTACTACACAGCAAGGACATACTAACAAGATATAGTTCCATCAGAGCCAAAGAATCCGGCCACATGTCCAAATTAACATTCCTGTTTCTCCGCAAGATGAAAGTATGAGCAAGAATTCATGCTAACCATTCAAGAACATGGCAATTAAACCATCAGGTGCAATTCCCAAAAAATAGAAGTACAAGTGGGAATTCATACTATATCATTCAAGGATGTGCCAGTTAAACTATCAGATACCTCTGGGGTTGCCCAAAAGGGCCCTTGAAAATCGTCATCTATGCACATTGTTAAGAGAAGTGGTATAACATTAATCTCAATGTATTATATAAAAGCTCCCTGCACTGGAGTTTATACTCCATAATAACACTCCATCATAAAGCTGTCTTATAAACACTATCAGCGATGGATAAAGGGGGCTGTAAGACCAGTTATGATAGATCAAAAATATATCATTATATAACAAAAAAATATAGTTAAATTAAGGAACATACCTAATTACATTTAGTTTGTCAGATAACTTGACCAAAAACAAGAGTGCTACACATAGAAGACACAAAAGATATGAACTACAAAGAGGGAAGAGTAAAATGTAAAATGAACTAAACTCCAAAATAAACAAAAATCGTTTTAATTATCAAAGTTTTTCAATTTAAATTGAAAGTTGATACATTGAAAATACTGTTTAAACAGATGAATAAATCTCACAACTATTGTAAATTTTAAACATAAATGTTTGGATGAAATAAAATTACCACCTATCTTACACTTAACTCTAGTCCTTTGTTACAAGAACTGGATGCATGATGTGTGATAAATATAAAACATTTTTCAATAACTTAGACTTCAATGATATAGATAATGTACATTGTGGAGTGTAATAACAATGATTTCTCAGATTCTCCTAATACTGGAAGCTTAAATGTTATCCATGATTCTAAGTTATAAAGTCTTTTTGATAAAGGATACTGCCAAAGTATTGTTAAAAAGTGACCTTGTAAAGTTAATTAAAAAAAAATTATAAAGTTTAACTAAACACTACAACAGTTTATCAATCTATATTTTCCACAGTTAAACATATACACCTGGAAAAAAGTTAAGTACTCCCGTGTTTATTTCAAGTGATTCAGATTCGAC